GGCCTCAACACCCCTCTAATCAATGATCCTACCCCACATGGAAGTCTTCAAACTATGAAGCGCTGTACAGAGGAGGGCTGGTTAATGGCAGCCCAGGTGGGCTTCTGGAGAAGTCCACAGTAGCCTTCATCTTCCGCAGGCAGGAGAAGGGCAGCTGCGGCCACCAGACGGGCCTGGGCAAGGACCAGGTGAAGGGACCAGGCCATGCCTGACGCACAATGGCTGTCCCTCGGTGTGTGATGCAGGAGGACACTGAGGGCCCTGAGGGGTCCCTCCACCTTCCAGGGGCTAAAATATGCTGGAAGGACATGGCCACCAGATTCAGGGTGACGAGAAACAAACCGCCAAACTAAGGACCCTCAGCGTCCCTGGGACAGACACCAAGGGCTCAACCCCCAGCTCCCTGCCTATCCCTGTGTAACCTGCTGGGCCTCAGTCTCCTCATCTGGAGTATGGGGATCCTCCTGCCTTCCCAAGGCCCCGCATCTTGCATTCATGAGGACCTGCGCTGGTCACCTGGCTGGCCGTGGGGGAGTAGAAGCAGCAAGGGTGACTGAGTGGCGCCCATAATGGTGGACAATGGTGAGAACTAGAGTTTTGTGTTAGTTCACACACAGCACCTGGGGCAGACACAGTGCACACACACACAGCACCATTCACACACTCATTGGCATCCACAGATGTGTGCACACACAGCCACCTCACCCCCTCACACACACAGACACATAGACACAGAAGCCAAAACACATTTCTCAAAATGATAATTGGCGTTCACGGTTGCGATGCATCCTGATATTTTCTGAAATGCAAGCTCATGGACCAAGGCCTATCGGCCAAATCTGGGAGGTTTTGCAAGCCCAGGAGCTGAGGCAGTGGAGTATGTGACACATCCTAAGGGACCCACAAAGCCCCAAATGTTTACTCCCTGGCTCTTAAAAAAAAAAAAGTTTGCTGACCTACTGTACTCTCTCCTCTCCTCTCCTACCCTAGTCTAGACTATTCTGTTCTGTTCTCTCTGTTCTGTTCCATTCCACTTTGCTCAGAAGTACTGGTTGCGACTAAGTTTATCTCCCTGACCCCTCGATGAGCTCAAACCTATTCGGATTAATGTGAACTTCGGTTTTTTCACCAGGCAGAAGATGGATGAATAAACTTTATCCAAGTGACACTTCAGCCAAGTGGTGTGTCCTCTTGGTGCCTCAGATTCCCCAGCTGAGCCTGGGACTGTGGCCAGCCTGCTTCTCTGGGCTATGTGGAGGAGAAACAGGGTCCTGCGGTGACGTTCTCAGTGACCCTGGAGCGCCATGTCTGCTGTCCTTTTCAGTGCCCCGCTCAGGGGAGGAGAGGCCCAATCAATAGTTCTTCATGATGAAAGTGGCAGATAGATCCACTCAAGCCTCCTTGACTAGACTCTGGCCCCATCTGCAACGGGACCTCCACTTCCTCCAGCCACAGGGTCTCTTGGGCTCTTCCTACGTGGCTAGACTCTCCCCTTGTCCTGCAGGAGTCCCCCCACCCCATTGCCACCTCTACCTGACTAAATCATGGTCCCTCCACTGTCAGAGTCACCCCCCTTGCAGCCACTCTGTGACTGCCAGCCAGGGACAGGAGTCATTTCTATTTCCAGGCACAAGCCATGGAGCCTCCCAAGCCCTGGATCCATGGCCCAGCTCAGCTGCTGTGAGCTCCAGGGCAGGCCAGGGCCCCTCTCTGAGCCTCTCTTATGTCTGTGAAGTGGGTGTAACACCAGGCTGTGACCAAGTGTGGATTCACAGTCAAGGAGCTCAGGAGTTGGACAGCTTCCATCCCTGGGAGAGGAGGCGCGCTCCCCAGGGCTCAGCAGCAGGAGGTAGAAGCAGCACCCCCTTCGCTTGGCTTCAGAGGGAGGGGGAGCTGGACGCCCGTGTGGAGTATCTGCTTTCCAGCTCTCAACTGGACCTATTTATAAAGAAACCCTGCCCTCAGGGGACAGGACGACCTGCCCAGCCCTTGCTGTCCAGGTGACCCCCTCCACTCGGCCCTGTAGCGATCTGCGTTTCCCTTCTTCTCGCTGCTGATGTGTACCTGGACCTGGCTGGGTCAGGGTGTCAGCATCCAGGGGACACACCTCGTTCTGTGCGAGTCATGGCCAGGCCTGAAGACCTGTCCCCAGTCCTGCCTTTAGACACCTGCTTGCCCAGGTGTCGGCCCCTGCTCTGTGCACAGCTGACAGTGCACACAGGTTCTGCACTGTGCACAGAAGTGTCACCTGCTGTCCACCTCTCAGGCCTCCAGGGCTCGTGATTTCACGGTACATGAAAAAGAAGCTCAGAGAGAATGAAGGTTTGTGTGATGTCACAAAATGAGCCAGAGACACAGGTGACTCAACCCGTGTGAGACGGCCCTCCGCCCAGCCATGTGCATTCCACTCTGCTGTCAGATGGGAAGTGGCTGAATCCTTGTGGTGCCCCCCCCCCCCCTTGGGTGCCTTCTAGAACCTTCCCTCTGGGACGGTGCTAAATCTTCCCAACTGCCCAGAGGCAGGTACATCGGCTCCCATTTCACAGATGGAGAGGTGTGTGGCCTCCCCAAGATCATAGGGCGAGGGCGGGAGGGGCTCAGGGTGTGAATCCTCATCTACCTGAACTCCAGGGCTCCTCCCTCTGCCCCTGGCTGCTTCCAGTCTAGAAGGATCTAAAAGTCGCCTGTGAACATGGGGACCTCTCGCCTGCAGGCCTGGGGTGTTGGGGAAAGTTAGTCACAGTCTGGCTTCTTCTCATCACCTAAATTGAGCTCCAGATCTGTGGGGAGGGGATACAAAGCAGAGCCCCTCACTTTGCCTGTCGCATGGCCAGGACACCCCGGCACGTTTCAAGAGAAACGTCCCCATCTGGTTCTCATTCATTTATACTTAATTAATCAAAATGTTCTGTAAGAGCCACTTGAGATCCAAGAACCTTTCTCAAGCCTTTTCTTTCATTCTTTTTTTGTCTTAGAAACAGAAAAATTGGGTTTCATCAAGGAACAGTGACGTGGGACCCGAGGAGGCTCGGGTCTGTGTGTGGGAGCCAGGCCCCAAGGGCGAAGGCTCAGACGGGGCGGCTGCGGGTCCTGCAAGCCCTTCCCCCGACCTCTCGAATGAGGTCACCGACTGTGGCACTGCGGGGAGAGTGGGGAAGCGAGGGCAGGGCTGTCCCTGCATCCTGGCAGCCTTCGGAGCAGGCCTGGGTGTGTTCACCTTGGCGTCCCCGAGTTCTCCAGCACAGGGCCTGGCACAGAGGCTGCCCTGTCACACTTGCTGAATGAACGAGTGAATGAATGACTATGTACACTCACTGGTTTAGACTCACCCACCATCTTCCTGATGAGTCAAATACTTTAAAAAATGATATTATGATTATTATTAATACTGGAGATTGAACCCAGGGGCGCTTAACCACTCAGCCACATCCCAGGGCTCTTTTACACTTTATTTAGAGTCAGGGTCTCACTGAGTTGCTTAGGGCCTCACAGTTGCTGAGGCTGGCTTTGAACTCGCAATCCTCCTGCCTCAGCCTCCCGAGTTGCTGGGATGACAGGTGTGTGCCACTGCACCCGGCCTTAAAATTATTTTTATTCCCATTTTAAAGATGAGTCTGGGAGGAGAAAGCTTTTTTTTAATAAAAACAACAACAACAACATTTTTTTACAATTGAGAAAGTTCTTAGAGATCTCCTACAGGACCTTCAGGTGGGTAAACTGAGGTTCAGAGCAGCAAGGTGACCTCCCCATGGGTATGCAGCTGGGGACACGGGGATTTGAACCCAGGTTTCAGAGTCCATGGCTCTGAGTCACTGTCAAAGGCCATTCAAGAGGGATGCCACAGAAGCTCCCAAGTCTCCCCAGCTTGCCTGAGGCCACCCATCTCTTCACTCCCTGCCTGTCATCTCTGTGTATCCCCTGCTGTGCACCCCACCAGCTCTCCACAGCCCCCTCCTTCCTGCTGCATTCCAGGAGTTCCACAGCATGAGAAGCCCCCCAGGGCAAACTGTCTCCCCCTCTTCCCCAGCTCAGATCCAAGCTGGAGAGACAGAAAACACGCATCCCACCAGGTGTTGGGGAGCCTCGGGTCCCCTGCTTTATAAAACGAGATGACGCCTATGACACAGGATATAGTGGGGATTCCACGAAACAGAGCACGGAACACCCTCGGCACAGTGGCTGGCACTTGCCAGCTGATTCTCAGACAGGCACCCTGGGGCGCCAGGGCTCAGGTGTGACATTTGCTGCTCTGCTCTCCTCCGCTCTCCTCTGCTAATTGACTCTGCTGATTGTCACCCTGCAGGGGCAGCTTCACACCCACCTCCTCAAGATCTGACTGTAGTAGTGAGACATTTGGGATAAGACCCTGAGGTGACCCTGCACGTAGCCCCCCCCCCCCCACACACACATTTAGAATCTGAACCTTGGTCCTTCTTCTTAGTGGCCCTGGGAGGAAGGATGGAAAGACTGAGGCTCTTGGAGGCACTGAATTCCTTCCAGGTCAATCCCAGAATAAGTGAACTTGAACTCAGGTCTCACATCTGGCTCAGCTCACCAGAGGAGGCCCACCCGGGATCACTGCCTTCTGGGAGGTGACCCCATGAGTCAGGGTGTGTGATGAGGCTGGGAGCGGGACATCTGGATTCTCAGACCAGAGCTCTAGATGTCACCTCCGGACTCGACGTGAATGCTTAGGATGGCTTCTCGACCACTGTCTCCTAGCCCCTGATCCCCCAGGCTGGCTCAGAGTTGCTACGGTAGGGGAGGGGCAGGGGTGACAGGGAGCAAGCCCTGCTGGTCTCTCTCCTCCTTGGAGAGCCATCAGGTCCAGCTTGCTCAATGGCTCTCTTACCAGGTGCCTGGTGCCTCACTCTCCCCATCTGTCAGTTGGGTCTGACGTTTTCCTAGAGAAGTGACTAGCCCAGAAACCAGGCATCAGGCAGAGGCCCCAAGGGACATCTCCGATCGCCCAGCAGCGCCTGCCCTGTCGCACCTCATACCTTGCTTCTTCCTTCGGTTCAGGGCGAGCATGTCCACCGCGTGGGCGACGAGCAGCAGCAGGCAGAGTGGCGCCCGCATCTGTGCAGCCTGGTCCAGGCGGGCGCGGGGCTCCCCGGGCGACCCGACGGCCCGGCGGTGGCGCTGGGGCTGCTCGGAGAGCGCGGGGCGCATCCGCTGGGCGCGGAGTCGCTCCCGCAGTCAGGGACCCGCTGTCCGCCCAGGGGCCGCCGCCAGGTCGAGGGAGGGCGTCGGCGCAGCGGGCACTGCCCCCGCGGGGAGGAGCCGGCGCGCGGGGGCGGCGCGATCGCCCGCGGGGCCGGGCGCAGGGGGGTCGCCTGGCGGGTCCCTGAGCCTGGTCTGTCCTGCAACCCATCGCAGCGCCGGGTCCCCGCCCTCCCTCCACCCCATGCCCCCCGCTGTCCTCCGCACGTGGACGCAGCCCCGCGATCAGGAGCCCCCGACACGTGCCATGCGCACAAGCACCCGCAGGTACAGACGCACGGACCCGAGAGTCCCTCGGCCGCATCTTGACCCGCTCTTCGCCTGTGGCCTTCCTTCCTTTCCTCTTTCTGCATCTGCCTCCTGCCCCGAGGGCCACCCCTTCGCGTCTTCTGTTTTGCGTCCTGAGCCCCAACTCGGCCCCTTTCCCCCCAACTCGGTCTTGGTGACTTCACTCTCGCCAGTGTGCGTGTCCCTTTCCGCCTCAGTCTCCCTGCCTTCACCTGGCGGGGCCCCTGGCTCTGCCTGAGTCCCATCCCTCTCCACCTCCCTGCCTGTTGGGTGGCCGTCTGCGCGGCGCCTACTGCCCAGCTCTCTCTTTCTTTCACGAGGGTCCTGAGCCCCTTCTGGCCACTGACCCTGAGTGTTTCCTGCTGCAGCTGCCGGGAGCCTCCGCTTTTTGACTCAAAAGTGTCCAGCACCTCATAAATTCGCTTGTGACAGGTCAGAGGACCTGCACTGTGTTTCCTCCAACCTTATCAACAGGACTGGGGGCAGCTGGTTCCATTTTAACCCTTTCGGTGCCAAATTGCTCCTCCAACCCAACAGCTTCCTCCTGCCTCCAATTGTTCTTCTCACCAAAACAGAGAACAACATGCTAGCTATCATTTCCAAGGCCTGTGTGCTTGGTGTTAGGGGACACACTTTATAGATGGTTATTCTATACACAGATTGTTTCTGTCTTGATGAACTACTTTTTAGGGGAGGAAAGGGAAACTCAGAGAGGCCAAGTGACTTGCCTAAGACCATACAGCAGGTCAGCTGTCAACCTGGGTGCAGTTCTTGCCTCTCCTAGGCACTCTCAAGGCACAGTCCATCGGAAGAGTGAGAGCCTTGGAGGGCCAGAAGAACTCACTGTCTTGTTGCATAATCTACCTGTGTGGCTTTTTTTTTTTTTTTTTTAACCAGGGATTGAACTTAGGGGCACTTAACCATTGAGCCACATCCCCAGCCCTATTTTGTACTTATTTAGAGACAGGATCTCACTAAGTTGCTTAGTGCCTTGCAGTTGCATAGGCTGGCTTTGAACTTGCAATTCTCCTGTCTCAGCCTCCCAAGCCACTGGGATTACAGGTGTGCACCACCACACCCAGTTCTTGTGTAGCTTGATCCAAAAGAAAAGGAGAGTGTCTCTTCCAGTTATCCCAATGCAATGAGGGACACTTGAGAATGTCGGGGAGAGGGAAACACAGGGTGTGTGTGATACGGCCCCAGCTGGGCCATCCTTCCTGTGGGGCACCACACACACTGGAGGACAACAGGGGTCATTGGATTCAAGCTGTTCCATTTCACAGATGGAGCCTCAGAGGCTTCAGGCCTGGGGGTGCCTCGGTTAGGTCAGAGCTGGGGTGGGCATCACGGTGTCCCAGTGTGCTGTCTACAATGGCCTGCAAGGCCACATGGTCTGCCATCTCTGACCCCAGTCTCCTTCCCACCTCACGCTTCTCCCCTTTCACGCCAAAGAGCCCCCTCCTTGCAGTATTTCAGGCCTCTCACCTTGAGGCTTCCACAGAATGGTGGCCTAAGTCCCTTCCCCACTTCCCAGGACTCACTCAGGCCCAGTCCTCTAATGCCCCTCCTTCCCTGGTTCTCAGGCCAGGCCTGGTACCTCCTCTGGGTTTCCACCATGCCTTCTGACAGTTCTAGTCACACCAGCTGGGAACTACGGCTGCATCTGTCCCTCCCTCTACACTGTCAACTCTTCCCAGCCAGAGACGAGGTCTCCCCCCGAGCCCCAAGTCATTTCCGATCCAGGGGGGCAGTATCCACAGGAGCCAAGAGGGACAATGAGTCACGCAGAGACCAGGGCTACTCCAAGCCACACAGCTCTGCAGGATGAAGCCCTCTCCCCTTCTCCCAGTTCTCCTCCCCACCCCAGGCCTTCAGCTCCAGCTACCTGGGCCTCCTCTTATTCCCCAGACCCCTGTTACGTGTGCACAGGGGTTTTCTGTTCTCTCATCCTGGGAAACCCTTCCCCAGGTGCCCTCAAGGCTTGGTCTAGGTCAGTGCTGCTTCTTCAGGGACACCTCCTCTCATGGCACCAGGAAAAACAGCACACAGTTTCCCTTAACACCTTCTCTCGCTTTAGTCTCCACTCTGCTGAGTGCTGCTGGCCTACTCGTGTGGGGAACGGGCTTGTGGGTGGTTTCCACGAGACAGGAACCTTCTGTTTGATCCCCGTGTGCCTGATCCATGAGGAATTAATAAATATCGGTGTATTGAATAAAAAAATAGATGAATGGATGAATGAGAACACATGCGTCCCTGATTTATTAGGGGACGTCAGGATCCGTTTCCCTTTTAGTTCAATGGCACAGATGGGATTTTGTGACACCTCTTCCAGTCTTTCCAAAATCTGATTTCTAGGGTTCTAAGGCCTGGGGTTCAAGCCCCTCCCTACGATGCTCAGAGGCGCTGGAATTCTCTGGAGCTACCATGAGCTATTTGGATTTCTCAGCTGCCCTCTGGGAGGGGACCCAGCCCATCAAAACTGAGGAGAGTGGGAAGCTGACCCAGTCTCCTCCCTGCCTCACCCTTCTCCCTTTTCACCCCAAATATTCCCCAATGACAGTCCCCAGGGAGGACACTGGGGCTTGTGATTCGGATGGCATGCCCAGGAAGTGTGCATCCTTGGGATGTCAGTTATGGAGACACTAGACACTAGCAGCAGAGGAAGACAAGCTTGGCACGTGTTTCTAATAAGTCAGGCTTCTGTGGGATAACTGGGACTCGGGTTCCCTCCAGCTTGAGCTCCACCTCTTCAGTACAGGAGCCCCACCTCATCCACAGTGTCACTTTCCACAGTTTCAGTTAACTGCAGTTGACAGCAGTTTGAAAATATTAAATGGAAAATTCCAGAAACAAACAATAGGTTTTAGATTGTGCACTGTTCTGAGCAGTGTGATGACATCTCACACAGCCTGTTCCATCCAGCCCTGGATGCACACCACCCTTTTGTCCAGCATGTCCACTCTGTATATGCTACCAGCCCGTTAATCACATAGTAGCTGACTAGGTTATCAGACTATTATCAACTATTATCATCTCTCAGTGCTTATGTTCAGGTAACCCTTAGTAACGGCCCCAAAGTGTAAGTGTAGTGATGTTGCCAAAAGAGAAGCTGTAAAGTACTTCCTTTAAAAGGAAAAGGTGGAAGTACGGTGAGAAATTTTCAGAGAGATCATATTCACATAACTTTTATTATAGTATGTTGTTATAATCATTCTATTTTTACTAGTTATTGTTAATCTCCTACTGTGCCTAACTTATAAATTCAACTTTACCATGGGTATGTATATATAGGAAAAAAATATTATAAAAAGAGTTCAGCACATCTGCAGTTTTCTATGTGGTTTAAATCTCACTGAGAAGGGGTAGGTCTTGTGGAAGGAATAGAGCTGGTCTACCCACATCCTATTGGCTAGAACTCAGTCACATGACCACGTGAACCCGCAAGGGCAGCTGGGAAATGTAGTCTAGATGTGTGCTGGACTATACCCCAGAGGAAAAGCAAATGAGTCTGGTGAACATCTGGCTCATTGGTCCATTGGGCCTTCATTTCTTGTCCTAGTGATAACAGTTTCTCCTGCCTGTGTCTTCTGTGGCCCCCACAAGTTCTTTTCGCTAAGCAGCCTGAAAAACTGTATCTTCCACCCGGTGAAGACCAAGCTCTTCCCCAGAACGACCTGAGGGTCCTGCCAAAGTGACCTACTGTTCATATTTCCCAGGTAAGAGTGGTTTCCTGGGATGCAGAGTTCTCTCACGTAGAGTTTGTTATAAGCACCACCAAGTCAAGATGCCTAACTCCACCACCACCACAAGACTCCGGCACACAACTGGTTTATGGTTCTGCTCTCTCCTCTCCAGCCCTAACTCCCTAGCAACCACTCATCTGTTCTCCATCTCTGTAATTATGTTGTACACAAGTTTTTGTTTTATAATGGAATCATGCAGTATGTATCCTTTTGAGATTGGCTTTCTTAACTCAGCATAATTTCCTTGAGAGCCATTCCATTTTTTGCATGTATTTGCAGTTAGTTGCTTTTTTGTGCTGAGTCATCTTCCAGGGTATGGATACATTATATCTGTGTAGCCATTCCTCCAATGAAGGGCACTGGGTAATTTCCAATATTTGGCTATTAAGAATAAAGTGGGCTTGTGCTTACTTCAACATTTACTAAAAAAAAAAAAGGATAAAGCTACCTTAAATACTTGTGTATAAATTTCTGTATGTTCTCTTTGATGAAGGGTGTATACATATTTTTTGCACATTTTAAGATTTTTTTATTGATTTAAAAAAATAAATGACAGCAGAATGCATTACAATTCTCATTACATATATACAGCACAATTTTTCATATTTCTGGTTGTATATAAAGTATTTTGACACCCATTTCTGTCTAAGAATTTTTTTTGGTATTTTTTTTATAGAAAATGTAGATTTATTTGTTATGTTATTACAAAGACAAAACAATTATCATTAGAAGTGCTTGGAGGATTTTCATTTCAGTTCACTGTTCTGTTACAGAAAACTAACCTAAGAGGGTGGAAATTAAATGATATAACCTAAGAGGCTATAC